TTTAATTCATAATAGAGGACCACTATTCTTATTTTGATTCGATTCCTATTATCGAGGTGAGATCTCCTTTCATGCTCCTTATATGGTGAGTTTGTGAATTAGTACTCTACTCCTATGTTTATCCCTGTTGGGAGATTTGATGGTATTAGCCCGTGTCTATCATTTTGTTTTGTACACTATTGAGGGCTATGAGTCCAAAAGTGACTTTCTGTTACTCACTACAATGGGTTTTGATTTAATTTCCGGATAATTAATTACAAATTGTGAATTATATGCCCTACCGGTATGGGGGTTCATTATGTGTTGTGACCTTGTTTAATAGAAATTATTTTAAAGAAGAAAAGGAAAATATTTTGATTGGCACAATGTGCATATTACTTGCGATTCAGAGCTGAGGACGGGATCCTCACATTTTAATATGATTTGATATGTTTAAACCTGGCTACAAACCATGGTGGAAGTTATATAAGGACGAGATCCTTGTGATGAAACTTTATGTGTTTAAATTCTACCTTGTGAAATTAAATTTGTACTATAGTACTAATAGAGAGTCATGCGTATTAGGCTTATTTGATAATGCTTGTATGTATTTTCCTGTGCATATTTAACCATATTCGTGTTATAATTATTGAGTTTTAACCTACGAGGTGGGTGCCCAGGTGGCGTTTTTAATTCTGGTAAATAATTACTAGGTCTTCATGCCTCGTGTCTTGTTGTTAGTTAGGTGAAGGTTTGAAACGAAATTTTTGTTAACATGAGGTTAATTGATGATGCTGTAATTGATTATGAACAGCTATTAAGACCATAGATGTGGTTATGGGCATACGTATGATGTGTGCGTAGGCACGAGTTGCTACCACCGATTGAGGCTAATATCGTGTGTTGATATAAAAATTGGACTTTTTGAAAATGTTTGGAGTGTAAAAATATTGGTTTTAAAGTTATAAATGTGGATAAAAGAAATAATCTCAATTGAGATGGTGTTGTCAGATATATGTCGATTTCGGTGACGTAGAATCACCCGCGAGTATATGTGTAAGAGAAAAATCAGCAATTTGAAAACCTCAGAATAACTCTAGCCACGTTCGAGGACGAACGTTTGTTTTAGAGGTGGAGAATGTGATGACCCGATAGGTTATTTTTAATTTTAACCTTTATTTATGTATTTCGAGACCTTGAATAGCTCCATTCATCCTTCCTCTATTTGCGTGCACAATCCGTATCTTTTTTCAAAAAATTGTTACGTGAAAAACTAAAGAAAATGTGAAATTTTGCCTTATAAAACTTATTTGAGTTGATTTCGGTCAATGTTCTGAGCAAACGGACCAGGATCAGTATTTTTGCGGTTCAGATGGGTCTGTATCATGATTTAGGATTTGGGCGTATGTCCGAAATCAAATTTGGAAGTCCCTAGCTTGAATTATCGCCATTTGACGGAAACTAGAAATTTAAAAGTTTAAAGAATTCCTCAATTTGGCCATAATTGGATTTTTGTTGATACCGGGTCCCGATTTGAATTCCGAGAGTTCGATCAGTTTCGTAACAATATTTATGAGTTGTGTACAAAATTTTAAGTTATTCCGAGGTGCGTAGGTACGTTTTCCATTAGTTTTTGAACAAAATAAATAAAATGTTTGATTTTATAAAGCTTGAATTTCTAAAATTTGACAAGAGATTTGACTTTTGAGCAAACAACTTCGAAATAAAATTTTAATGATTCAAATAACTTCGTATAGTGATTTCGGACTTAGGCGCATGTCTGGATTTGGATCTGGAAGTTTGTAGGACAATTCGACGCATTTTGGCGAAAGTTGGAAAATAGAAATTTTTTGGAAAGTTTGACCGGGAGTTGACTTTATTGATATCAGGGTCAAAATTTGATTCTGGAAATTGGAAAAACTCCATTATATCATTTATGACTTGCATGCAAAATTTAAAGTCATTCCTGATTGATTTGATATGTTTCGACACAAGAAATAGAATTTGGAAAGTTTCATAAACTCATAAGTACAAATCGACGCACGATTTGTAGTTTTGCCGTTTTTATGTGTGATTTGAGTCCTCGAGTAGGTCAATAATATGTTTTGAGACTTGTTGGTATGTTCGGACTCCCGAGGTGTTCGGGTGAGTTTTGGAGTGGTTTCGGACCATTTCTATGCCATTGTTAACTGCTGGATTTTGGCTACAGCAGTGTGCATCGCAGAAATCTCTGTTATACAGGGCTAACTTTGGAAGCTTATATCTCGCAATTTATAAGGAATTTGGAGGTGATCCAAAAATAAATTTGTAGCTCTTTGTGTCTAGATTTCGAAAATGTAAACTTTTTGGAATTTGGAGTTGTGTATAAAACGTTATGGTAGATACACTAAAGGCTGTCTGGGAAGAGTTTTGAAATCGCGAAGAAGAAATTTCTGCGTCACAGGGCTGATTTTGGGAACTCATATCTCGCCATCTATAAGGAATTGGCAGATGAGAAAAACATAAAAGTTGTAGCTCTTGGTGTCTAGTTTCAAGAAAGTTAAACCATTCATCATTTGGATATCGTATGAAAGAGTTATGCACATTTCCGTATCATGAAAGGTTGTTATTTTTATGGGGCTGAGGCAAATCGCATGTGTCAAATGCAATTTATAAGTCTCAAATGTCAAATGCGACTTGCCTGGACAGATTCTAAGAATGGGGGTTTCAGCCATTTTAACATATTTTGAGCTACGGAGCTCGGATTGAAGTGATATTTTAGGCGATTTTCACCATATGGATTGGGGTAAGTATTCTATATCCAAAAGTGATTATATTCCATGATTCCGTGGTTATTTTCATCAATTATTAGTGAATTAAATGGGATAAATTGCAGAAATTTATAAAACTCTTCAAGAACGAAAATTTTAGATTTGGAGGTCGATTCGTTATCAAAATTTGATAAAATTGGTATGGTTAAACTCCTATCGGAATGGGCGTTCGGATTTCGTAAAAATTATGTCAGGTTTCGAGAGGCGAGCCTCGCGTTGACTTTCGGTTGACTTTTAGAATAAAATTGGAAATCGATGTATTATTATCCAAAAATATTGTAATTAATTTATAAGAATATTTTGATTTGATTGGATTCGTCTGAACGTCGTTTTCGCACAAAAAGGCTATTTTGAAATATCGGCCTAACTCCGTTAAGGTAAGTGTCTTGTCTAACTTTGTGAGGGGGGAGGGGGGGGGAAATTACCCCTTAGAATTTGAGATGATTGTGTCATTCGTGTTAAGTGAAGGTCGTGTACGCGAGGTGACGAGTGGGTACACGACCTATATGTGATATTTGATCGGTTTGGACCGTTAGGCTCCTTTTATACAATTGATTGTAAATATCGTTTCATGATTATATCTTTTGTTGTTAGAATTGTTTGTACGTGCTTTGCCGGAAATTGTTAGCAGATGTTCCATCTTTGTTGTCAAGATCACCTTATATTCTAATTGTTGATCGTAACCACTCGTTGAATTCATGCTTTACCTACTACATGCCTTAATTGTTAATTGATGCTCATAAATTGTGCATTGGCTTATGGATTGTTATTTCCTTGCTACTTTATTTCGTGAGCTATCGTGTAGCCTTTTTCATTAGTTGTGACTTCTTTGTGTAGACTCGTTATTTCTTTTGATTTTGTGGTATACCGTAGTTGGTTGTAAATTGGCTGATTAATATTGAGAGGGATCGGGTTGCACGCCGTAACAGATATGATTTATTATTGAGAGGGATCGGGTTGCATGCCGCAACAAATATAATTATTATTGTGTGGGATCGGATTGCATGCCGCAACAGATATGATTTATTATTGCATGGGATCGGATTGCACGCCGCAACAAATGAACAAATATAAAATTATTGTGATGTTAAGGTTAGTTCCGATTATGATTCTCATGATGCATTTCATGCTAGGACGGTTACTGTGGTTTCTTAAATCACCTCATTGTATTTTGATTATAATTAATTAACTGTCAATATATTAAAAATGGAACAATATGGCCTTCTTGCGTGAGTCATGCATCCTATGTGATATGTTAAGTTGATGAGAATTTAGCTGAGGTAAATGAAAGAATTTTCAAGTTGTTCCACTTATGTGTCTTTTAAAAATAAAACTCATATCTTATTCGAAGATTTACTAAATTAAATGATAATTATATTTTTACTCTAATTGATGTCTCAACCTTCTCATTGTCTTATTGTCGTGTAATTTGCGTGAAAATTTGTTATTTCGTTTTACTTTAATAAATCTCATATTTATCTCATTAAAACTTGATTGAATGTCTTATTTTGTATAAATATAATATTTTATCGGATCTCATATACTTCTAAACTAAACTCAGTTGATATTCTATTTGTACAACCTCTCCAATATTTTATCTTATTTAAATTCTAAATTGGATTAATGACTCATGATGCTTCACTGTATTTAATTTGAAAATTGTATTTAATTGTGTTTAAATTATTCATTGGTTATCTTGGTTGATATTGATACAGAAATTATACACTTCATAGCACGAGGATTTTGCCGTGCAAAAGTGATTTGGAAGGTGTGGTGAACTGGGTAGAATCGGAGTGCAAACCTGGGTAGTCTAATTTGGTATTTTCTTCTTTTTCTTGAGCTGTATTTCTCTTAGTAGGTAATAAAATTGCTTATTTACCAAAAATAATAATTTTTCTAAAACGTAAAAAAAAATTAAACAAATTCAGTTTATCACTAATATTTGAAACGAAACATGTACACATCAGATGTTTACACATTCGCAGGTTCATGCAAGGACTAAGGAGTCCAACTATAGCATATCGGCCAGATTCGCTAAAAACAATTAAACCATTCAATTTTAACACAAGAACCAAGTTGCGTTCCCCAAAAAGGAAGAAATAGCTACAACTGGACGGTTCCCATTCAACTTGATTTGTCTTTATTAATAAGCTACCATTGTGCTACTTTGAAGAGAGAAAAAAAAAAAAAGAAACGAGGTATACTTTGCAGCTAGCCATTTGTAGGCAAAAAAGAACTGGTTCTCTTCAACAAACAAAAATAACCGCTTTGCACAGTTGTTGACGGTTTGTAGGCCCCACAACCTCAAAAAAGGTGTCAAAATAACATGAAAATATTGATATTTTGGCTTGCAAACTGCAAGGCCCTCTTTCCCCTCACAGCATCTATTTATTCACACCTCAACTCCTCCTCTTTCTCATTACAAATACACTCATTCACTCCCTGGAACACAACAGTAAAGAAAGATATCAAGAAACTCCATTTTTGTTAAGGAACAAATTAAGGTTAGTACTGACCAAAATACAACTATTTTTCTTTTATTATATTTTAAAGGGTGTCTAACAGTTAGACTTTTCTTGATTTTACAGCAAGAAATGTCCACTCTGTGGCTTTTCATTGTGGGATTTCTTTTTGTGGTTTCCTGTGTTCATGGCAATGAACAAGGATGGATTCAAGCTCATGCCACTTTCTATGGAGGTGGTGATGCTTCAGGAACCATGGGTTAGTTCTCTGCTACTCATAGGCCTATGCTTTTCTGCTATCTACCTCACAAATATTTTCACAGTATAAATTCTTTTTATCTCATTGATACAATTACTATTTGAAAAGTTAATGGAATTTTGTTTTTCATTTGCTTTTTAAAATATTATGAATTGTTAATTATTATAACTTATAATACTGTTATATAGTTTTTAAATATATAAATTTGATTTCAATAATGTAAAGATTTTATACTCTACTTCACACTAAACATTAGATAATTTGACCATCGTATCCTAAATTGTACCACATAAAATGGGATAGAGGATTAAGTAAGACTAGTTAACCGAAAGTAAAGCAGGCAACCTAATGCAAAAGATTATATCCAGATTTTGAGAAGTCACATACAATCACTTACTAATAATTTGGATAATATCCAGGTGGGGCATGTGGTTATGGGAATTTGGACAGTCAAGGGTATGGTACAAACACAGCAGCATTGAGTACAGCACTGTTCAACAATGGGTTGAGCTGTGGGGCCTGCTTTGAGTTGAAGTGTGTGAGTGACCCAAAGGGGTGCCTAGGAGGGTCAATAGTGGTCACAGCCACCAATTTCTGCCCACCAAACTATGCCCTCCCAAATAATGCAGGTGGGTGGTGCAACCCTCCATTGCACCATTTTGACCTCTCTCAGCCTGTTTTCCAACAAATTGCTCAGTACAGATCTGGGATTGTTCCTGTTGCTTACAGAAGGTAAAGCATACAATTAATCTACATGCCTCCTTTCTTTATTTTGCCACAAAGCTTATGGACCAAAATCAGAATTTATAGCTTATAGACCATAGTAAACTAGTTTGGGCCGGAAATAAAAAGTTGGTTCTAATTTCAGACCAAAAATTAGGCACACAACCAAGTTGATTTTGCTCACTGTCATACGCTACCTAAGAATGTCGCTCTCACCGTCAAAGTATTACCGTAATTAATTTTACTTTTCTTGAAAGAAAAATATAATTATCTTTTATATTTGGTTATTTCTTATTTTAGTAGAAAAGTTTTGGACATCCATAAATTGAAGACATCATTTTCACAACTAGAATATACAATAGCATCCACAATGTGGTGGTTTAGAGAGCTTTATTTATGGGGAGAATTTTCTTTCAATAGGATCTTATGTTTTTTTTTATATGTAGGCCAATTGGCCAAATCATATTTTTATGCATATTTTAATATATTTTATGGTCGTCCAAGATTTGCAACTATTAGCCTCCGCATGACGCCCTGTTATTTTTGTGCCCCAACACCCTCTAATTTATCTAACATATGAGTAGTTGGTTAATTATGGTTGCATTTCGATCGGACAATTAGATATTTTCTTGTGGAAAGAAAATTAATCATAATATTATAACATTGAGGTTGTGATTAATTTGTGATAAATGCAGGGTACCCTGCAAGAAGAGGGGAGGCATCAGATTTACTCTGAATGGTCACTCATACTTCAATTTAGTCCTAGTGACTAACGTGGGAGGTTCAGGGGATGTTCATGCAGTTTCAATTAAAGGCACAAGAACTGACTGGCTACCCATGTCTCGCAATTGGGGTCAAAATTGGCAAAGCAACTCCTTTCTTGATGGCCAAATCCTCTCTTTCAAGGTCACCACCGGCGACGGCCGCACCGTCGTCTGCAACAACGCTATCCCCGGCGGCTGGTCCTTCGGCCAAACTTTCACCGGCGCCCAGTTCACTTAATGAGTAGGGCGCAAGTGTTGTGTCATAGGATTTCTTACTAGTGATTAGTATTAGTGTTGAAATTATGGGAAGGGCTTGTTTTAAAGTGGCTCTTATCCATTTCTTTAGGGAGGCCACCTAATTCGAATTCTTAATACACAGTTCGAATTGTGACCTTTTAACTACTGAATTGTCTCTCTAAGTAAGACATTATTAGGGTGTTAATTTGTATGGAGTGGTTAATTTCTGTCAAATGTCATTTTAGGACGACAGAAATTAGGCAGAGGTGGATTGATTTTATTGTTGGTCACCACCCGCTGTAGTAGTACTTCATGGTAAGGGTAATATGGTGAAACCACTTCTTTTTTTTGTAACTTTTATTTAATATTTTTAAGATATGGTCTTGTATGGTCCCCATTTCCACTTGGAAAAGTAGTTTGTGACATTGTTGTCGTGATTTCTTATTATTAGTCTCTACTTTAATTGATTTTTACGTTGTTTTACATATATTAAGAAATTCATATTTTATCATTAATTAATAATAAAATTGACTATATTAACTTTAATTTATTTACTAAAAATGTAACAAATACTTCTAGATTCTTTACTACATGGCAACTTTTGGGAAAAAAAAGTTAATTCCTTCTTAATATCTTAATAAATCAAATATTGTGGATCACAAAAAAAAAGTCAAAAAATCAATTAAAATTCCTCCTTGATATCTTAAAAAATTAAATATTGTGGACACAAAAAATTCACTTTTTTCCGAAAAATTTTCATTTTTGTCGAAATAAGTGTTTGGTCATAAAATTTTCAATTTTCACTTGAAGATGAATTTTGAAATTTTTCGAAAATTTGAAAAAATCCAAAAAACTATTTTTCAAAATTTTCACTCACAAAACTTTAAAAATAACCCAAAATTATATTTATGTTCAAACACAACTCTAATTTTAAAATATAATTTTCACTTAAAAAATATTTTATCTTTTTTTTAATTTACAATTCTTATGTCCAAAGTCCAAACGCCCACTAAAAAACTGGCACTGGGAATTGGAGAGGGCATGCAGGAGGAAGAAGTCAAAAGTGTGTCGTTTTCTTGTCCTCGTTTCGTGTGTGTTTTTCAGATTGTAAAACGGATTGACCATGTCCGTTATTTTTGTTATAAAATAAAGACCGTAAAGTAAAGACAAGTATAGAGAAAAATTGATATATTATTCAAATTTTAAACTTATGTATATAATGAATTGAAAACTCCTCTATTTATAGAAGAAAGGAAGCAGCTGCGAGGCTTTTCAGGAAGCAGCTACAAGGCTTTTCTTTAGCTGCTTGTAAGCTGTTTGCATGAGCTGCTTGCAACCTGCCTGTTTAATAAGAAGATGCTGCAAATCATTTCATTGAGCTGCTTGCAACCTGCCTGCATCAGCTGCTTGTAGATAAACTTCAACAGAGTACTAAATGGATAATCTTCTTCAGGAAGATTATCTATAGCGGAGTAATAAATGGACATTCACAATATAATTATTTTCATAACACTCCCCCTTGGATGTTCATTAAAAAGGTATTGTGTCTCGTTAAAACCTTACTAGAAAAAAACCCTGTGGGAAAAAAATCCTAGTGAAGGAAAAAGAGTACACATATTTAGTAATACGCATTGCTAGCTGCCTCATTAAAAACCTTATAAGGAAAACCCTGTGGGAAAAAACCTTAGTAAGGAAAAAAGAGTACATCGCGTATTTTACTCCCCCTAATGAAAACCTTGTTTCAAATATTTGAGTCTCCGCATTCCAATCTTGTATACCATCTTCTCAAAAGTTGAAGTTGGCAAAGATTTAGTGAATAAATCTGCCGGATTGTCACTTGAACGGATTTGTTGCACATCAATGTCACCATTTTTCTGAAGATCGTGTGTGTAGAATAATTTTGGTGAAATGTGCTTCGTTTTATCTCCTTTTATAAATCCTCCCTTCAATTGGGCTATGCATGCAACATTATCTTCGTATAAAATTGTGGGTCTTTTCTCACATTCCAAACCACATTTTTCTCGAATAAAATGAATTATTGATCTCAACCATACGCATTCCCTACTTGCTTCATGAATAGCTATTATTTCAGCATGATTTGAAGAAGTAGCAACAATAGATTGTTTTGTGGAGCGCCATGATATGATAGTACCTCCATATGTAAATACGTAGCTGGTTTGAGATCTAGCTTTATGGGGATCAGATAAATAACCTGCATCTGCATAACCAACAAGATCTGCACTATCTTTGTTAGCATAAAGCAAGAGAGTTCCCTTTAAATATCGCAATATATACTTAATCCTGTTCCAATGTCTCCGTGTAGGAGAAGAACTATATCTTGCTAGTAAATTAACAGAAAATGCTATGTCAGGCCTTGTAGCATTAGCAAGATACATTAGTGCACCAATTGCACTGAGATAGGGTACTTCGGGACCAAGGAGTTCCTCGTCCTCTTCTGGAGGTCGGAACAAATCCTTATTCACTTCAAGTGATCGAACAACCATTGGTGTACTCAATGGGTGCGCTTTGTCCATGTAAAAGCATTTTAGGACCCTTTCTGTATAGGCAGATTGATGGATAAAGATCACGTCTGCTAAATGTTCAATTTGCAGACCAAGACAAAGTTTTGTCTTTCCAAGATCTTTCATCTCAAATTCTTTCTTAAGATATTCAATTGCCTTTTGGAGCTCTTCTGGAGTTCCAACAAGATTTATGTCATCAACATAAACAGCAAGTATAACAAATTCTGAAGCCATTTTCTTTATAAAAATACATGAACAAATAACATCATTTATGTAACCCTCTTTTAATAAATATTCACTGAGGCGATTATACCACATGCGTCCAGATTATTTTAAACCGTATAAAGATCTTTGTAATCTGATTGAGTACATTTCTCGAGATTTTGAATATGCTTCAGGCATTTTAANAAAGGAAGAATTACACAGTTTGGGATTAATTCCCGAAATTATGTGTTATGTGACTAGTTTTGAGGTGACGCACATGCTAGGNCCAGAAATTGTAGAAACATTTACTTTTTCCTTATGCAAATAAGAAAAGTATTTCTGATTTTTGAATATGGCATGAGTTATTCCACTATCAATTACACAAATGTCTTCATGATTGGTCTTTGATCCAAACATAATTTGAGGATTNCGCATAAACCCCTTATCTTGAAGTTCCCGAAGCTACTCTTTCAATTCATTCAACTCTGTTAGTGTCATACGATATGGAGGAATAGAAATGGGCTGAGTGCCCAGCACCAAGTCAATACCAAAATCAATATCCCTGTCGGGTGGCATGCCCGAAAGATCTGCAGGAAGCACATCCGAAAGTTCTCGCACTACCGGAATAGAATGAATATGTTACAACCCAAATTCGCATACCATAGATCACGTCGTAAGTTTGTCGATGTAAATCCAAGAAGAGATTATCTTTGAGATGATAATAAGTTAATCCAGTTGGTCTTAAACGATACAAGGGTGTATAAGAGTGGTTAACAAGTATTTGAAGTTAAGCTAATCAAGGATGTTGTAACCCGTATTTTCGGNTACGACATGTACGGGACCAGTGCCCTTTTCCCCCCCATATCTATAGCATGCATTTTCTGGCTTTGATGCTTGCACCGCTTCATGCTTTTGCTCCTTCCTTTTCCACTGCTGGTGGTGAGGAGGGTTCTTTGGTGCATTATTATTACCACGATTAGAGTTTTCTCCCCGACCACGGCCATAACCACGATTAGGGCCACGCCTTCTTCCACGTTTAGCTTGGTGGAAGTTCGTCTCATTCACTTCAGGGAATGGACAAGAACCAGTAGGTCGGCTTTCATGGTTTTTCATTAATAGCCCATTATGTTGTTCGGCTACAAGAAGATGTGAGATAAGTTCAAAATACTTTTTTGCATCTCTCGATATTGCTGCTGCAAGAGCATATTAGAGGCATGAAAAGTGGTGAAAGTTTTCTCCAACATATCATGATCAGTAATATTATCACCACATAGTTTTAATTGGAAAATAATTTTGAACATAGCAGAATTATACTCACTGATAGATTTAAAATCTTGTAGCCTTAGATGNATGGCGTAGGAATATCATTGCTTTGGCACGGTCTTGGTTTGATGCCTGATTTTTATCTTTGATGGTGTCTGCCAGACCCATCGCATCAAGATGAATTTCGGCATCAAGCACCCAAGACATGTAGCTTTTGCCTGATATATCCAGGGCTACAAACTCAAGTTTAGAAAGATTTGACATTATTTAGAGAAAGAAAGTTCGTACCTCTGATACTTTCAAAGTATTTTCTCGAGATGGCAGAGTCTCGTGCTGATAACGTGTTATAAAATAAAGACTGTAAAGTAAAGACAAGTATAGAGAGAAACTGATATATTATTCAAACTTCAAACTTATGTACATAATGAACTGAAAACTCCTCTATTTATAGAAGAAAGGAAGCAGCTGCGAGGCTTTTCAGGAAGCAGCTGCAAGGCTTTTCAGGAAGCAGCTGCAAGACTTTTCTTTAACTGCTTGTAAGCTGTCTGCATGAACTGCTTGCAACCTGTCTGTTTAATAAGAAGCTACTGCAAATCATTTCATTGAGCTGCTTGCAACCTGCCTGCATCAGCTGCTTGTAGATAAACTTCAACATAGTACTAAATGGATAATCTTTTTCAGAAAAATTATTTATAACGGAGTAATAAATGAACATCCACAATATAATTATTTTCATAATAGTTTTAAGTTTTCGGAATAAAAGTAACAATAGTCCCAGTGCGGTCTATTGCTTGTTGGATTATATTTCACACATCTTTTGCTTTTCTTTTTTCTCTTTTGTTTCTCTTCCCTTTCTCTTTTTCGAATTCTCTATTCTCTTTTGTGTCCGGTGGTGAAATTGAAACTTGTTTGTTTAAGAAAGAAACAGAAATTGAGTAAAAATGTTTTTGAGAGAAATGAAATAACCGAAAACTCCTTTTGTTTTATATCCTATCCAAAACCAAAATAAAATTGGTTACAGAATAGCTCACAAACGTTTATGTAAAATTGGTTACAGAATAGCTCACAAACGTTTATGTCTCATTTTACTCGATGATATATGATCACCAATTATATTTGAAAATCTTATTTCTGCAAAGACTATAACAGACAAAACACAGTATAATTATTGTACCAGGATAAAAGGGCTGTACAAGGGAGCGTTCATATATTGTAAGTACATCTCTAACGTTCGTATATAGNGCTTATTTGTGTGTTGTTCAGCCATGTTAAGTTGTTTTGAATTGGTAGCTTGGGTTCAGAGTAGTTTTGGAGTGAAATAAGGCACTTAGACTCTTAGTTAGAAAGCTAAATTAGAAAAAGTCAACCGAAAGTTGACCTATGAGTAAACGAATTCGGATTAGAATTTTTATGATTCGGTTAG